TAACAACAAGTGTACTTTCCCACAAGGGTCAAAGATCACCATGAAAACGAGGCATTTTTGTGCATTTTTTGTCCCGAATGACATTTTGACCTACGATTACCCCCTAAAATGAAAAGTTAAAAATCCGGAATTTTTTGTGGTGAAACATTTCTAACAATATAATAATAATTTGCTCAACTTAGACATACTGAATACGCTGCTGGTTTCACTGTACTGTCGTACTTATTAACGTAATTTGAATAATGAATTCTCAAATTCGTTGCTTAATTTTTGTAGTGTAACAAGTCCTTGTCCTATATCGTGTAGAATGGTATTATTTTAAAATTGGTTTTCTTTTTTACGATATTTTAATGGACATGAATAGAAACCGAAAATCAAAATATACCAATAATAGCACGGCAATTAAAAGAATAGTTCTACATATATACTTCTTCAAGAGCTGTGCACGCATTTGGACAAATCTTCACAAACATTTTGTTCTTACTAAAATTAGCCTATTATATGATTAAAACCTCATTTTAAAATTTACCTCATTTTTTTCTTATATTTTAACAATTATCAGAGTGTTCTTATAAAATGTGTAAGTTATTAACTTATCTAATTACCAGATCAAAAAATAAATAATTTTCAGAATACAACCTAATTTGACAGTCTGTGCAAGTCAAGAATGATTAACTCCGCCAAAGGAGGCCATGTATTCACCACTGTCTGTCTGACTTGCATAATACTAATGAATCATAAAGTTAGTGAAATAGTATATAATTGAAGGGGAGATATGAATACATTTTTGGAAGAAAAGGTGAAGGTCATTGTCACGGAAATTCTATTCTTTACTAAGAGCATACTAAAATAATGGAATCGCACATCACACAAGACCTGCGCGTACTGTTCGGTATTACTTTAATTAGGGCGAAAAAATAATGGAATCACCCATAAAGCGCTCTATGGAAAGACCAACCGTACGACAATTTTCTCGATTGTGAAGTCTGTTACGAAGACAATCTTATTGTTTTAAGTTTTAGCTCTATAGTGAGAAACCTAATGTCAAAAAACAGGTTTGCGAGATAGGCTTGCCCAAAGCAATTTTATTGAATTTTTTCCGGATATTTTGGGTATGCTGAATCCAAAAATGCAAGGGTCCATTTTTTCCGATATTGTCTTGCCGGCCATTTTGGAATTTCAAAATGGCCGCCATTTTTACAGTAAAAGTAACCATAACTGCGCTATTAGAATAGGTAACCACATGATCGAATTTGGTAAACCCTATGTTCTCAATGTCAACCTGTCCAATGGTGATATGTTCACGGATCATGAATGGCAGCCATTTGAATTTCAAAATGGCTGCCATTTTCACAGTAATAAAAACCATAATTGTGCCATTAGAGCAGGTCAATATGATTTAGGTAGCAAACCCCAGTGTTTTCAATGTCAAGCTGTCGAATGGTGATATACACATGGATCATAAATAGTGGCCATTTTGAATTTCAAAATGGCCGACAAATTTTTTTCCAAATATCTTAGAACTTTAACATAAATATCGATGAGGTAACTAGATGAACTTCTTCCAACAATTGTATCAAATGTGTTACACCTACTGCAGATGCAGACTATATACACATTTTTTTATAATATCAAACAGTCCAACAGTTGATATTCCCATGCAGATTAAATTAAAACGCAATTACTTCGAAAGGAAGAGGTCTCAGAATTAGGTGCACAGGCTATTTAATCGGCAAAGATTGTAGAACAAGGCATGCGCAAACTACTTTTTTGTTCCCTATAGGTTATTTTTCCATACCAAAATATACTTGTGGGATTGGGGACAACGTATCAAGTTAACAAAGGAAAAACCTTGGACACAGGTTGTTTCCTTATGTTTGCTAATGGTTAGATTTTAATATGATCAATATATCAATCATAAATAATGACAGTATCTAAGAGACACAGATTAACGATTACAAACTTTGCTAAAAATTCGACAGATATGATGTTCAAGAATTACGGAAGTGCACACGATTAAAAGAACAAAGCAAAACCAATTACTATGACATCGAAAGAATTTGGCAATAAACCATGCGTCTATGACAGATATTATCTTTTTGCCAAATCAAGTCATCTATGGCACGTACATGGGCACATGCATTAGGAGAATGCAGTTAAACAAGTCAGTTATCGTTTAGGGAACAGATACCAAGGTCAACACTTTCAATTGTCGGAAGAAGTTAATAAAAAAAATCAGGATGTATCACAGTGAGACACATTGGTGCTATTGTATGTTATAGATTGGCTTGAGACAAAAACCACTGCTTACTTGCCATGCCCTATATCAATGTTGGTTGTTGCAAATGAAAAAAATTGGAAAATTGAACAAGTCTGTAAATGACACTTCAATTAAAATATTATCTCACCCAAGAAAGAATTGTTGATGGGAGTAATATTAATGGGTCATGCCAACAACTTTTACTCTTCCAGCACCCAAAGCAGTCATAGTGTTGGCTAAATATGAGTTCCAGAAATAATTGCGCAAGAACTAAAATTTTCTGCCAGACTTTTATGGTGTAGACGTCTGTTCAAGCACATTAACTGAATTTGCTTTAAAAACTAGTAGTCTATCTACAATGAGGCTAATGTGAAGGGCATAGGTGTATGTATGCCTACCAATTTAATCATTAATGATGAGAAAGTGGGTTGGTGTAATGGTTTCCCTTGTGGTTCTTGTTCTTGTTCATGTTTGACTATACACCAGTTTCCGCTACACCATGTACATCTACTACCACCAACATCTACCGGTACATATTTTATTATTTTTAGTTCAAATAATAAATTTTAACAATGCAAAAGATTTGAATATTGTTGAGCAAACTGAATAATACCTAATGAAATAATTTCAAGTTACAAAATGTGTAGATGGCAGAGAATAGTATCATAACACAAGCTGTGTTGTTCTAACAAGAAATGTTGATCTGCTGATTTAATAAAGAACCCTTATGTAGGGCTAATTTCTAGATTAATACCAGAGTGGCTGATATTGTAAAAACATTTTAGACATACATCTGAAAAAAAGTTAAAACGTTTACTTGTTAGTCATTTTGAGTAAAGACAGCTGCCATCCGTTCTTCATGTAAATATCACAATTGGACTTTTTAATGTGTTATTAAGTTTATAATAAAATCTTTTTCAATCGACATATTTACTTTCGAAAAAGAAATAATGCAGTTTTCATACATGCCAACATTTTGATAGTAAAACACAGGGGAATATGGTCATGGGATGGGGAGGAGTGTTCCCATTACATGGGCCCAGGGGGTGTAAACCCTCCTCTTGGTTGCTTCAGCTATTAATGTATTATAAGGGCAAATCTCATGATTCTTATATGTATTTCAATAATAAAAGTACGGTATTGACTTTAAATAACTTGTTTAATTGAACCACATTTTGTCTTGTGTAGGCTATGTCTATATGGATTAATTTCTGATTTTCTGGCTCTTTTTTCAGTACAAGCTACAAAATCTGGATTCAATGCTTCTCATAAAAGCGCGTTTTAAATACTTACTGGGCTGGTATTGAGCAACTGCAACTGCATGTCCAATTAGTTAACATAAGGTCTGGTCTGTTACGTCACTATTCCAGCTTTATACAAGTACTGTATTATAGTCGTAATTATTAACATTATTGACCTCCATTTTAAAACGATTTCAGACAGACCATTGCCTTTAAGAGGCCCTATCGTCTTGTCATGTTTCACGCACCATTTACGGAGAGGCGACGCTGTCGCCGAGCAATGTATTGAAAGATATAATATAAATATTTAGGTTTTTTTCGTAGTATGTTATTGCAAAAAAGACATTGAAAATATAGGGTTGACATTGAAAATATAGGGTTTGCTGCCAAAATAAGTTGATGCCTGCCCTAATAGCATAACTAATGTTATTTTTTTACTATAAAAACTGCAGCCATTTAGAAATTCAAGATGGCCGCCATTTATGATCTGTGAGAATATCACCATTGGACAGGTTGACATTGGAAATATAGGGTTTGCTGCCGAAATCATGCTGATATCTGCTCTAATGACACAGTTATTGTTATTCTTAATGTGAAAATGGCGGCCATTTTGAAATTCCAAAATGGCCTCCAAGACAATCTAAGAAAAATGGATCCTTGCATTTTTAGATTCTGCATACCCAAAATATCCAGAAAATGCAATAAAATTGCTTTGGGCAAGCCTATCTCGAGAAATGACACCAGGGTCCACACTACTACGGTATATTTTAAGCGTATTGTATGTACAGAATAGAATTAGCTAAAAATGGTACAAGATATTACATGGTACAGGAAATATCGTACTCTCCTTATTGTTTCATGCATTGATCGGTTCATTCTGTTCGCCGTTTGTGAAACGAATTGTTGTAAACACAATTGTTGACTGAAGGCCTGTTTTGGAGCTCGTGACTTTTAGTAATTCACAAGTTCACTTTTCAGTGCGCCCTCACCCTGATTCTTTTTAACGCAATTAAATATCCGTAAAATGGAATAATAAAAGCCCATGAGATTCTTTCCAAGATGGGCTCAAATTTCAGGTTTCACGCCTGTATAATTAGCACGCAACTATTTGCCTAATTTTTATGTTAAAGGAAAACGGAGCAAGATTAGGTTAAGTATCATAAAACATGCCAGAAGTACCATTGTTGTATACGTCAAATTTTAATGTATTCAGTTTATAATTCTGACCCAATAGGTTGCTGAATATTTTATGGACACTGTGACTCCACTGGATAAGATGACAAAGACAAAATTTTTACATATTTATTTATCCATGTTTTTTTTATTTGAATATGGATTTAATTAAATTTGGTGTATCATAGGCCTACTGTACAGGTAAAATAACCACAAAAGAGAAGATCGAGAAAGAAAAGACAATGAAAACAACTTATGATCGCGCACTTCTTCATAAACACATCAACGTTGACAGCGTGTACACAGTTTAAGAACGAAGAACCATATTTATTTATATCAATTTATTTTTTCAATAAAGTTTATTTAAAATTCATTTGCAAATCACGAACATTACTTTAAGAAATGTAAATTTTCAATTGTATTAAAATTAGAAACTTGATGTATCCCAATATCATAAAAGTATTAAAATATATATTCTCTATAAAAAAAATCACACTATTTTCATATTAATTTTATTGTTACAAAAATTTATGTTAAATGCAATTAATTAAATCTATTATTAGAATTCTTAAAATGTGATACAGCGACTTCGGAATCAAACAATAACTAAAAATCATAGGCCTATTATGCTAAAAGCATAGACATAAATTGCCTTGTATTTAAATACTAAAAGCAAACTAATCTTATAAGTGCCTATTTTAAATTTTTTTTTATTGATATTATGATAATATTTGCTGCTTAACATGTTAGTTTGAAGACGCATTGATGTGACCATGTATCGCAGTTGTCTCCATGCCTACATGAAACGTCTGATTTGCTTTATTCTCTTTACTTCATCTGACATTTTGCTTTTCACCTGTTGAAATATAAATTATGCCATTATTTCATAAGTAAATAAATGATGGTATAATAATAATAATAATAATAATAATAATAATAATAATAATAACAATAATAATTGTAATAATAATAATAATAGTAATAATATCATTAATAATAATAATAATAATAATAATTTTTATTATTATCATTATTATTATTATTATTATTATTATTGAATGATGATGAGAAAGAAGATGATGTTGATGCTGATGGTGATGACAATAGCAGGTGATGTGGTGATGGTGATGATAATAATGATGGTAATGACAATGATGATTGTGAAGATGATGATGATGATGATGATGATGATTGTAAAATCAATAATGTTGCTGCTGCTGATAATAATTGTCACTTACAGTCAAAAGAGGGTCTTGTGACTTCTGACAGTAAGTTGGTAGGACAAAATACTTTGATACATCATTCAGAGCCTTAAAATCGTAGTAACCAGTGCTTTCAACAAGATCAGCTGTAATGATAATGCAGAATAGAACGTATTTGATAAACATCGTAAAATGGTAACAGTTTTTATTCATTATATTCATTAACATTTTTAAGCCCAAAAGCGATCATAAGAAATTAGGGCCGGCATTATAGGTTTACATTAAAAACAATTACTCCAACTTTTTAGTACTTGGAAAGCCACTTTTAAAGTTGTATTAATATTTGATATATGCTCTTTTGTGGGATCCATTTAACAAACAAAATGGTAGGCCTATTGGGTGAGTGTTGACTAACATTAACGTTCACAAAATTGGGGAAAAATACGCTATAGATCTATAAAATGAAAATTATATATATTTGAATTAAAGAATCGTATGGGCCCAATATATTATGTATGCCCATAACACCCCACCTCTTTATATAAAAAAGACATGGTATCTAATTCTTAAAAAGTAATCCTACTAAAAACCGAAAGGTCGACTGATTAATCTCATATAAGACAGTATAGTACGGTACATACTCCAAGTATTGAAATGTACGCCATCGTGCCGGGATTCAATATTTCGAAATGAATTATGTCATCATCAGGAATGTGTGCCTTTCGATACTTGGAGTATGTATTATACTACCTTAAGGCTACTAACTTTTTGAAACTCCTTGTGTCACTGTGCCGGTGAAACCTGCACCAACTGGAATGCATCCATCCGCCGTTACCGTACTTGTAAACGTACCATCTAACGACGTGGTTTTTAGGGGAAACGCCCAGACGTTACAAGGCTTATCGCCTGCGAATGTTACATGTCCGCTAAACTGTGCTTCATCTGAAAAATTAGCAAAAACATTATAAGATGAAACCAGTTGCTACCCAAATTAATGATCTACATTTGCGTTCATGCTATAAAACTATTGTGTGAATTTTAAAATTACTATTTTTTTTTTCTTTCGTGGGGAACACCATCTTTATATTAACAATAAAAAGAATATGAAGAATACAAATACCATCTGTAGAGAACTACTGGGTCAGATCCCCAAGCATCCACTCCCCACCACCCCCACCCCCACCACCAAAAAGAGAGCAAGAGGGGTGAGAGAAAAGAAAAGTATTGACAACGCTGCACGATACCTCTATAAAAATTAGGCCTAGAAATGTGTGTAGGCCTACTCGTAATGATTTTTTAAGACAATCGAAGGCCGGGACCTACCACTCCCAACACCATACCCGCGATCGGTATTTGCACATCGCATGGCCCCTACTTAAACGTTTCTCTTGATCCTCCCTATACTACATCAATATAGTCTTAATATGTCTGTATAAAAGCAGGGTTTGGAAAATTAACGCACATTAAGCTCTATGCAAATTACGAAACTAAACGTGTTTATGCACGGCTTTCAAACCTGTCACTAAAAGCGGATAACCTTACGTGGAGCTTTTGTGAAAATAAATAAACGCTGCTTTTACAGTTAATCATCGAAGCCAAGTGAAATAAAGCGGAATGGGGAAATGGCCTTTGTGTTCATTGCTTTTCCTCATGTTGTTTTACCTGGTATACACCTTTCGATCTTTGAGGTGCCCTCTGGAATAGCCATCTCATGGCACGTTTTTGCCAAGGGGTCTATAACCCATTGTATATTCTGTAGATGATAACAATATTTATTTATTTATCAATAGATATAGGTTCGCGTGATTTTGATCTGACTGTTTAAAGTCTTATTTGAAGTGTTTACATACCAGCACAAATGGCAAAATAATAATACTTATTTTAATATTAAAATCAATGTATTTCATTAACAAAATTATTATTATTTTTATCAACAGATTTATAGGTTGGATAATAACTTATAATAATAAAATCTGTAACAATAATTATATTATAATTATAAAGATGTAGCCATAACAAATCTTCCCTAAAATATACAATTCCCATTACAGACGCAGTGTCCAATATACCTCTATATATTTCTCAATGATAATAGTGTTCGTCGTGTTTCCATTCACCGTCGTAGTAATATTCAATGCAAATCGTGAACTCGGAAAGTCGGCAACGATGCCTACAGTTTGTGAATACGATCCGTATGCGCGATCACTCTCTTGTACGTATCCAATGAGCGATGCTTAAAAAATATATAAAAAAAAATAGACATTGTTTAATAATAGGCCTTTGCTATTTTTCCAAAAAGAGGCCACCTTTTATTGCTGTTTATAAGGACAACATAAACAAAATAAAAGGTTACTGTATGGTAGCCGAACCCCGGCAAACATTGGAGAGATTGGATGCTTTGGTAATGGGCCACAATATATTACACGACCAATCAAATTTATACGAACTAAATAAACAAATGATCAAGAATCATGTGGTCCGTAAACAAGCTGTAATTTCTGTGGACATAAGCTATTAAATAAATATAGTGCCTCAAAAGGAAACAAATTCAGACATAAATCAATAACAAAGAGAAGAATAAATGGTCCATGTTATGGTGTTGTCAATGTTACTTGTAAGAGGGGGGAAAACGCTCTCCGTGACAATTTCCACGAATATACTATAATATTAAAATTATATTAACCTGGATTCATTTATTATTATTTACGTATTATAAAACTATAACTAATTAAAAAAATATTAATCTCGCCGGTAGTGTTATTTCTCTATTTGAAATTAAAATACTAATCTCGACTATTTAATAGCGAAAAACGTAATCATATTAATTACATATGATTACGTTTTTCGACATGGAAATTTAGCGCCTGTTTCTAAATTACCTGTAAAAAAGCTACACATATCTGGCTTCAGGCAGCATTTTGGTGGTGGTTTCTGAGCCTGAATCACTGCCCCTCCGCTACAAAATATAATAAATAGGCTTAGTGTTGTAGCACGCATTATGTTTCTCGTTTCCCTTTTGTGAGAAACGAGCCAACGTAAACACAATTGCTGTGTGTGTGGAGCTCGCGTGACTTCTAGTATCGTAATTCCAGTTCCGAAGCCTACTTTGGATCTCGTGACTTCAAATTTCAGTGCGCCCTCAACATGATTATCTTTTTAATGATTTTAATGTGTCTCGTAATGTTATATAATCATGTATATTTTTACCAATTTTGACTACATACTATATATATATTACATTTTTTTAAGCTACTTGTAAATTTCTCCCAATTCAGTTTTAACTGCCATGAGAAATATAGCTTGAATCTTGAATCTTGAATAAAACTACCGTAAAATGGAATGAAGAAGCCTATTACGAGATGGGATTCTATTTGAGGTTTTACGGTATAATAAGCATTCAACAATATGCCTACTTTGTATGTTTAAGGAAAATGAGGTGGGTCATAAAACATGCCAGAAGTTGTTGTATACATCAAAATTAAAGATGTAATTTCCTTTATTATTCTGATTCACTAGGTTGCTGAAATACACTGTGACTCCATTAGAAGAAATGACAAAAAGAAACATTAAACAAAAATAAATAAATTACCTAATTGAATTTTAAAAAGCGTACCATTATAAAAGAAATTAAAATACTTCGAGTGGAAGTGTTTCTATCATTTTTAGCTACAAAAAAAAAACATTAATTTCTATGTTCAAGTTGATAATTTTTGTATTACTTTAAAATGATGAAATATATTTTTAAAAAGTGTTATGATTATTTTGTATTTTTCAAGGGACAACACATCTTTAATCAAAAAGGCCTGCTACCCACAAAGGGATTCTGAGATAAAAGTGATCAACACTGAAAAACGATTTAAAATGTTATTAACATAATTCAATTGCTTACTTGCTCAAGCCAAATACGCATTTTGGCTTGAGTAACCAGTAAAATTTTGCCCAGACTCAATGTTGTTTTGTTTGAAGACACATTGATGTGATTACGTCTCGTTGTCTCCTTGCCTACAGGAAACGCCTGATTTGCTTTATCCTCTTTACTTCATCTGACATTTTGCTTTTCACCTGTTGAAATATAAATTATGCCATTATTCATTAACTAAATGATGATTTAGTAATGATTCTGAAGAAGATGATGATGATAATGATGATGATGATGATGATGATGATGATATAATATTATGATAATGTTGGTGCTGATAATAATGGTGACATACAGTCAGCAGATGGTCTTGAAACTTCTGACAGTAAGTTGGTAAGACAAAATAATATTTTGATACATCATTCAGCGCCTTAAAATCATAGTAAACAGTGCCTTCAACAAGACCAACTGTAATGGTAATACAGAATAGAACGTATTTTAAAAACATTGTAAAAAGAAAACGATAATCATTATTTATTAATACTTGTAGGCCGGCCTGAAAACTTAAAAAATCTAGGGCCAGATTTTTCAGAAATTATTTTTACATTAAAGAAAATTTATTCACCTATAGAGTGCTTGGAAATGCCACTGTTAATGTTTTGATTATATTTGATACTTGTTGACTGACAATAAAGTTCACAGAATTGTATAATTTTATAAAATGAAGATTATTTACATACATATGTTTTAATTAAAGAAATATATGAGCCTAAATACATTATGAATGGCCATAAAACTAAACGTATACATGAAAAACATGGAATCTGATTCTTAAAAAGTAAGCCTACAAACTTTTTGAAAATGTGGCTGTGCCGACGAATTAGGATTATGACGTGAGCATTAAATGTGCCTAGGTTATGTTTCATATACCTAAACACATTTACGACTAAACACGTTAGAAACCTTAAACAGAAACGTGTCACTAAATGATGGACAAACTTGCGTGGAACTTTTGTGTTTAAATCATCTACGCTGCTGTTACAGTGAAATATCGAAGCCAAGTGAAATACCGGTAGGCCTATAGCAGAATGGAGACTGTCCCTTGTGTTCGTTGCTTTTTCTCATGTTGGTTTACCTGGTATACACCTTTCGACCTTTGAGGTGCCCTCTGGAATAGCCATCTCATTGCACGTTTTTGCCAAGAGGTCTATAACCCATTGTATATTCTGTAAATGATAAAAATATTTATTTATCTTTAGATTATATGTTCGCGATTTTAATCTGGCTGTTTAAAGTCTTATTTGAAGTGTTTACATACCAGCACAAATGGCAAAATAATAATACTTATTTTAATATGAAAATCAATACATTTCATTGCCAAAATTATTATTATATTTATCATCAGATTTATAGATATAATAATAATAATAATAATAATAATAATAATAATAATAATAATAATATTAATAATAATAAAATTAATAAAAATAATAATAATAATAATATCTGAAACAATAATCATAATATTATAATTAAGAAGATGGAGCATAACACTTTTTTACAACAATATACAATTCCCATTACAAATGCAGACTATGCATGTTCATACGTCTATATATTTCTCAATGATAATAGTATTAGTATTCGTGGTGTTTCCATTTACCGTCGTTGTAAAATTCAGAGCAAATCTTAAATTCGGGAAGTCGGCAACAATGCCCACAGTTTGTGAATAATATTCGTATTTTTAGCTCCTATTTATGTCTATTAAATAGGCCTATCATAAAAAGCAATTTTAAGAATCTACAAAATATTGGACGAGGATGTCACGCTACAATGTGAGAGTTCAGTATTCTTCTTCTTCTTCTTACCTAAACGCATTGGCCGTATTCGACTGGTCGTTCTTCGTTAAACCACGCCCATCAGCGCAGCGGTAAAATCCTACTCAACGAAGACGACCAGTCGAATAGAAAACTTGTAAATTCTCGACAAAACAAAATGGCTGTATAGTTACCGCGATACACGTTGCGTAATCGAGATTGCTTCAACTTGTGGTAGTATGGGTTTTTCGTAATTCGTAAAAAAAAATGTTTTCATCCAGTTTTTGAATTCTGTTAGCCTATAATTATTTTTTGATTCCATGTAAGTAAATATTATAATTTTTATTTTATGAAATTTAATCTAAGTTATATTAACGCAAATGTTGTTTATAAACTCACCAATCGGCCATGTTTGTCTGGTCACGTGGATAACTTAACGCTGATTAACGCACCCTGGTTTACGTTAATTTTCGTTGTCAACGAAGTCTATTTAACGAACCTGTCGAATGAAAATAATACTCAACGAAAATTCGTACTCAACGAAATGAACCAGTCGAATAAGCCCAATGTTTAGGGCATTATTCAAAAACATAGGCCAACGGGCCCGGAGGCGAATTTTTTTTTCCTGGACGTTTGAGGCAGTGGAGATTGGTGGCGCTATTATAGAGTCAACGGTAAGTTATGTTGTCCCATATTAGCAATGTTAATACTGATAATATTGGTCGTCATCATCATCATTATCGTCACCATTGGTATTATTTAATTATTGTCATTGTCATGATAATTATTAGATCTATATCACAGTGTTTATTAATACTGTACTTTATTGCATACGTCAAGTAGGCCTAAATACATTTCGTAGGCCTATTTATATTTTGGTATGCGTGACTGAGATACATATAAAAAAATACGGCCTAGACCTAACAATATCGTTTTGTAATTATAGCCTAATCATTATTCATTTCAAAAATAGGCCTATGCATTTCGGAATTATAATAAAAGGAGAGCTACTGTAAGTCTGTGGTGTTTAACACTATCTTCATCCTCGCCATGTCGCTATCGCATCACATGTCATCAGCATAACTGTATAGACCGCTCTGACAATAAGAAAAGTACAATAAACATATTCATGATCTTCCGAATCAGGAAGGTGATATTTTGAATCTTAGCGCCACCAATCTCCACTGCCTTAAAAAACTGGGGAAAGGTGTAATAATGGGCGGTTACACCACTTTTCCCCGGTTTTTAAATATTAAAAAATCTGTATCTCATTCACCGTTCCCCAGATATTAGTCATAACTTCTTTTTTTTTCTGTATTAGAAAATCAGTTCTACAACATATCATTTTTTTTTCCGCCGGAGCCTGACTTATTTCATTCATTCTTTCATTAAAATTGTTATAATAAATTACCGCCCCTACTCTGTTTGAAAAAATCTGGATCCGCTCCTGTTTCCACACCAACGGTTTTGATTGTTCATCATAAAAAAGTGTTTTAATGTACCTCACAATCTTGAATGAAAAACCCACTTATATAATTTCTGCAAAATAACATTCATGAAAAATAATATCGTAGGCCTATAATTATCTTCTGATAGCTCATGTTACATGCTTTTGAATGAGATGATTTGACAGTCATTCGTAATTGATGTTCTTTCCACTCGCTTCTATTTGTATAATTTGTAAAATGTTTAACTATAGAAGAACGGTGAATAGTGGAGTTACAATTGATATTATGTCCCTCCCACTTTAAATGTGGGGAGGAGGGGCCGCGTTTACCACCGACCTACACCCATGCCACCAAGTGACCGTGGCATATCATTCATGTCTGGTTTGGTGTGTCGTGTTTTTTTTTATTACGTCATGTTTACATGAATCCTCTTGAATGAACGATGCGCCTTGCAGCATCGGTCACCGGAACCACATTTACCTAAATTATTGAGGAAAAGAAAATGCATGTTAGATACTTATAATACATGCGAGAATAGAGCTTTGTGTGAAACTCCAAAGATAAACACAATGCGCAGACGGTCGATCGTCGTGCTTGCAACGCGATTCTCGATGCTACACGACAAAGGCGGGCGTGTGAGATGGTGACTAGAAGTGTTTCTAGTATTTTATCATCCAGAGTGAATTTAGGGTTAAAGGTACTTTATTGAATACACTGATTTATGTTCAAAATTAATTTCTATGATTTTTATAATGTTACTTAGGGAACAATATGTATCTTAAACAAACCCCAAAAATGTCTACCTAAAATACAAGTCAATTTCGGAATCCATAAGACATTTTCAATTCTGGAGGGGACAGGGCGCCCTTTTTCTGACTGCAACTTACCTTGGACTGGTCCGATCGTGTCGCCTCTGTCGGGCAGAACGATGGCAGAACAAAATATTTGGAAACATAATTTAGTTCCTGCATGTTGAAGTAACCCCCTGATTCAACCACATCCACTATAGATAAAATAAGGAATAATAAGAACACGGATTTATAAGACTGGTCGAATATTTGATAATAAAAGGGTATACTATGTTACCATCTTCTATTATAAATAATATTACAATAAAAAATAATGATACAGTACTGTTTTAGTAGTTAAATAATAATAATAATAATTATTATTATTATTATTATTATTATTTTTATTATTATTATTATTATTGTTATTATTATTTTTTATTACTATCATTACTACTACAGTACTGTATAATAGTACTATTATAATTATTATCATAATCATTATCATAATCATTGTTATTATAGCTTCAGAATAATGGTGGTGGGCAATACTTCTATTGTAAATAGGCCTAGTAATATTAATAATAATAATAATAATAATGTATTCTTTTATTCAATATTAAGGCACAAGGCAGAGAATCACATGCCAATAGCGAACTTAATCACTTTGCTAAGTAGCAATTCTTCCACAAAACAAACATCAAACAAGATGCTCTACATCACATTAGGTGTCGTGGGGAGTGGAGTTGTGTTGGCCGTGATCATAGTGGCAGGAATTGAACCGAGGGCCATAGGAATAGCAATTATCTTAACCTACTAACCTAATAAAACGTCTGCTTACCAAATAAAACTCACGCTAACCTAGTAAAACCCATGCTAAAATAGTAAAACTCTTGCTAACTAAGTAAAACTCTTCCTAGCCAAGTAAAACACCTGCTAACCAACTAAAACACCTGCTAACCTAGTAAAACCCCTGTATAACCTAGTAAAACTCCTGCTAACCTAGTAAAACTTCTGCTAGCCTAGTAAAGCGCGTGTAATTTTTTGGGGGGAGTGCGCCCCCGCCCTCCCCCCGTAGATACGCCACTGCTTGTGTCGGACAAATTTGTACTGTATGGTAATTAAACTCTTGTTTAACTCGTAGTAGGCCTAAACTCGTATAACTCGGGGGACTCCTATAGGCTATAGGTTAATGTATAAACTCATATTGAACTCCTATGCGAAGTAACTTCTGTCGATCAACGTGAACCGTGCTAATTAGACCTATAATCACACTGTGAGCATCCACAAATAACAATAAAATATAATGAGAAAATTTTATAGCATTCAATAGACGTCACACTATTGCTATAAGTACACATTGTTTTTGCAAATCCATTCACAAATTTATAATTGACAAAAGAAAACCTGAATAACACACATCTGTGTCAACCTCTTGAGGCCCTTGGTAGGCTTTGTGACGTTTAAAAGTACGCGTTGATTTATTGGTATAGTTTGATAGAGAAAAATTAGGTAGCTAGCACCAAACATGTTAAAAAATTTGCACTCGTAAAGTCGCCTAAGATGAAACCAACGAGGAGTTTCAAATGTAAATTGACCTCAATATTTTCTATAGACCATGATCGACTGGCGTATAAAATTTTCTTTGCTTTGGTGTACGGAGGAATATCTCTCGTTATGAATTTTTCGGCCTTGTATTTCAAACAGTTAGGTCTGGCATCGCATGAAATTGGCCTAGTGTCCGCCGTCCGGCAAATTTGTAGTCTAATGGTCGTCCCGTCGTTGTGTCCAGTCGTGGAAATAAAACGATACAGAAAACTTACTATCACGGCTGCCATCGCTATTTTAGTTTGTTGCATCACAACTGCTGGTTTCGCTTTTAGGCTGGATTATTTTCTTTGCGATTCAATGCCGTTGAATTTAACTTTTAACATTACAGGGTATGCGAGTAGACATCCATGTTGCCCTGATGGAGATGACTATGAAGACGAAGGAGTTAAATCAGGATACTGGTGGTCCAGTAGGGACGAACCGTTCACAGTCGCTAAATCTCGAGTCACTAGTGTTTTTGTCATTATTTGTATTTTATATGGATTAGGTGATGTAGCATGGATGGCCATACGAATTATTTCTGAAGTTTCGTTGACAGAGTCTCTGGGAAGGAACAGTGAACGATTTGGGACATCGAAAGTGTACGGTGCAGTCGGAGGAGCATTTTTGTGAGCATACGAAATTAATAATAATAATAATAATGATAATAATAATAATAATAATAATAATAATAATAGGCCTAAAAACAACAATAATATTATTAATAATAATAATGATAATAATAATAATAATGATAATAATAATAATAATAATAATAATAATAATAATAATAATAATAGGCATCATAGGCATAATAGGCCTAATAAAGTAATAATTAATAATAATAATAATATGAAAAATAAGAACAGTAATGATAATAATTTTTATTATATATCTCTATTATATTGTTATTGTTAAATAATAACAGTGCTGAAATAGGAACACGTTGTATGAAAAAAATGTCTGTCGGGATAAATGTAAAAGAAATAAAGGAACTTATCGTTCATGAGCTATATATAATATTATTACATTTTATATTGTTTATGG